TTACCGTATGAAAATGGGACTTAGAGGGTAATACATGTTGAAAGGCAAAATGGTCATTTTGCCAGTTTCAACATATTGATGGTCAAATGGGGGTTGACTTGTGGAAAGATAATCAGATGATATTGTTATTGGATCATAAGTTGCTTCTATAACTATCACTCGACTCGAGAGTGCAATCTCAATTTTTTAATAGAATAAGTCGGGATTAATAGATGTATCTCAATTGATCAAGAGTTGACTCAATTGAAAACATTTATTGGAGCTTGGGTCATGTGAGTCCGGTTAGGTCCCTCTCTTGACTCCAATAAAAGGTGTGTGACTTAATTGACCTACTTTAATAAAGTCCAAGGAAATTTGTGCAATTTTCAAACCATAATAGGGCATTATAAATATGCACTTTATTGGCATATTTTGAATGAGAATTAGGGTTAGTCACTTTTCACTTTCTCTAAAAAGGAATTACACCTAGTGGAGAATAAGGGAGAAGATCTAAGGGAGGAAGCAATTGGCTAGGCCATTTAATAGCTCCTTCAAAAAGGTTATCATCTCCCCTTTCTATATATGAGGATTTTATAATCCAATGATCTCAAGGTCACTAAAATCCTTATTTACATGATTTTAATCTTCAAAGGAAAATTAATTTCCTATTGTGATGATTAAAAATCATTAACCAACAAATGGTATTAGAGCCAAGGTTATTGTATACCTTGAGTAGGATTAATTTTTTTTAAAATCCTAGTATAATATGTATTTTAGTTGGGTGGTGTTAGATTATTTGATTTTGACATATTTATGCCTTAAATATGTTTAAAGTTATTGTTGATACACTTGTAATCACTTTTGGCCCTAGAATTTCTTTTTACTTCCTATTGTAATTCATTTATTGTAGTTATTCTCTAGAATTATTATAAGCCATAAGGTACTAATTTATTTTTTTTGTAATTTTTTCTTCATCTTCACACTTGTATTTTGAGGAAGAAATGTAAACTTGTTGCTGTAATTTCAATGGAGAGGAAGGAAGGACAAAATGCAAGAAATAAAACCAAGAAACACCAAAGGCCGGAGAAGCCATAGCTGCTGCTGTGTTCGCAGCAGCAGATCAGCAAGCTACTGCCTGTAAGGCAGCAGTAAAAGTTGCTGACCGCAACAGCTTGCTGCCGCCTTCGTCGGAGGATCAGTTCCGACGGCGACATCGATGGCGACTTATTTTGGGTCGCCGAAGTACTGTGTGTTTTTTATGGAAATATGTTTTCTTGTTAGGGTTTGAAAATTAGGGTAATTTGGATTTTTTGAGTCTTTCTTTAATACTTGGGCCAATGTTGTTAGATAATGGCCTTGTTGATTTTAAGTTTTGGGCCTAAAAATTAAATTAACCCTATTTTTTTTTGATAATCCAGGAACCCGCAGCCGCTACTGGCAACCAGTGCGCACTAGGTAAACCTGGGGGCTGGCACGAGACCCGCAACCACACCAGCCGGTTAAATCTTCTCCAAGGAGAAGGCGAATGTCTCAAGCGTGGGTTGAACCCTCGTCGAAGCCAAACCCAGTTTCCCAGGCCATGCCCTTTGCCAACTCGGCCACACGCTCTTGACTAAATTAACCCTATTTTTATGTTACATGAGGTGGACTACAAAGAAAATTAAAGAATTGGGCCGGGATGTGGCCCAATGTAATTTTTTTTATCCATGTTGTAATTTAAATTTTTAGGATGGGTCATTAGTGATTATTATTCATTTAATTATCACTTTTACAGCTTTATGGATGGATGAATATTTAATTATTATCGTATGTCATGTAAATTAAATGAAATACCACCCGGTGCACTAAAATCATATGCATTTACATTTAAATATTTTTTTATCACTCTAAATTAATTAGAGGTGGTTCAAAAATATTTTATAATTAGCGCCATTATAATTATTTATATTTAGCGGACTAATTAAGTGAAAATCCAACAGTGCAAAATCATAAGTGGAAGAGGGTTTATAGGCATGTATAAACCTACGACATCCTCCATCATCCAATTTGTTATTAAAATATGTATGTTTAGTATCGAATTATATCGGTCTCCCTATACGAAAACTACGTTATTTTAGATTAACTGAAATTGGATCTAGTGATAGAATTTCTTTAAAAATGAAATAATAGGATGATCATCCTATAGACGACATCTTATATATTTCGGATATTTTAAAATTATTGACGGAGGTTATTACACTTATATATGAATATTTTGGGGGACTTCCAATAGAAGATTTCAACAAAATTATTTATAGGCCAAATAATAATCAATCATCATTTTCTTGTGGTATGAGATGCCTAACTCAATAAAATGAGTGGGAAGGTCCAAACCTTGCCAACAACTACATTGACATCCTATAGAGGGCGTGTTAAAAGTTGTAAGAGTTTAAGGTTTTTTGATTACAAATATAGTTTTTGGTCTATATATATGTGCATCATGCAAAGATTATTGCTCATTTTATTAATACGCGAATCGTTAATTTTACAGAAAATGTTGATTAATCCATTATCAGTAATACTTAACAAAAATCAACTTGTGGGAGAAAACTACGTTGATTAGAAAATGAGTCTTAATATTGTTCTTACAATTGAAAAATACAAATTTGTGCTAGATGAAATTTGTCCCGAAACCCCTAAAGATGGCTCCACGAAATCTCAAAAGGCTGCATATGAAAAGTGGCATCATTCTGATAAGATAGTCCGTTGTTACATTTTGGCATCCATGTCAAATGTATTACAACAAAAATATCGGAATATGCAAACTGCTTTTGACATAATGGAAAGCCTTCAAGAGATGTTTGGACATCAAAGCCAACAAACTAGGCAAGCCTCCATTAGGGCAATTATGAACACACGCATGAAATCGGGTGCATCTGTAAGGGACCATATGTTAACAATGATTGGTCACTTCAATGTTGCAGAGGTTTTAGGAGCTGACATTGATTCCGAGATGCAGATTGACATGGTCCTTGAGACTCTTCCTGAGATGTTCTCACAATTTATAGTTGATTATAATCTACACAAGATGGATATGTCTCTGACGAAATTAATGAAAGAGTTACAAAATGCTGAATCTATTCTAAAGGCTATGAGTGGAAGTGCTTTGACTGTTACAGTCGGACCCTCTCATCCTAAGCCTTTTGGTGGCAAAGAAGGAAAGAAGAGGAAGAGGCCAAACAAAAAGCCAAATAGTAAGTCAAAGGGGAAAAAAACTACTGCTGATGGGAAACCAAAGGGAAAGTGTTTTATTTGTGGACAAAAGGGTCACTGGAAGAGGAACTGCCTAGATTACCTAGCTAAGGGGAAGCAAGGTAAAGGCAATAATACCCTATTCATTGAGTCTTGCTTAGTGGTTGATTCTACTAATACCTGGATTGTAGATTTTGGAACCACTAATCATGTTTGCAATTCTTTGCAGGGATTCCAGGGAACCAAGCATCTCAGTGAGGGGAGTACACTTTTAGGGTTGGCACAAGAGAAGTGGTATCTGCCAAAGCTGTTGGCACTTTTACTTTATGTTTTGAGAATTGTAGGCATTTGATATTAAATGACTGTTATTATGTTCCCGAACTTACACGAAACTTGGTTTTCGTTGCACTTTTATATCATGTTGGTTATTCGGTACTTTTTACCCGTTCTACGGTGGTTATTAAGTTGAATAATTCTATTATATGTTCAGGTCATATGGTTAATAGTCTTTATGTCTTAAGTCCTTTGATTGGCTCTATACACAACACTACTACTGCTAAGAAAAGAAAGAGGTCGTCTAGTACTAATGAGACTCTCTTATGGCATCTTAGATTGAGTCATATCAATCTAAATAGGATTCAAAAATTAAATGAGTTAGAGGTAGAATCTATATCAACTTGTGAATCTTGTATAGAAGAAAAGATGACCAAGAGGCCCTTTAAGGCTAAGGGACTAAGGGCTAAAGAGGTTTTGGAATTAGTACATTCCAATGTTTGTGGACCTATTAGTACTCGGGTTAGAGGAGGATACAAGTACTTCATCACCTTCACAGATGATTACTCTAGATTTGGATACATATACCTTATGTCTCACAAATCCAAAGCTTTGGAGAAATTCAAGGAGTTTCGGACGGAAGTTGAGAAACAATAAGGTAAGAGTATCAAGGCCTTCGATTTGATTGAGGTGGCGAGTATCTATCCCAAAAGTTTAAGGTCTATTTATCGGATAATGGGATATTTTCCCAATTGAGTGCACCAAGAACTCCCCAACAGAATGGTGTCTCGGAAAGAAAAAATCGAACTCTTTTAGATATGGTAAAATCAATGATAAGTTATTCCTAACTGCCTATATCCTTTTGGGGATATGTACTACAAACAGCCATTTATATCTTGAATTTGGTACCATCTAAGTCAGTTCCCAAGACAACTTTTGAATTGTGGAATGGGCGCAAGCCCAATTTACACCACATTCGGATATGGGGTTGTCCAACACATGTGCTAAAGGGAAAGACGGATAAGATAGAATCAAGATCAGAGGTTTGTTTCTTTGCAGGATATCCAAAGGGAACGAGAGGTCACTACTTCTATAATCCTCTTGATAAGAAGGTATTTGTTAGCACAAATGCAACCTTCTTAGAGGATAAGAATATAGAAGAACACAAGTCTACTACTAAGATTCTATTGGAAGAGATGTTAGAACATGATTCAAACAACTCAGCTCCAGATTTCCGCATAGAATCTAATAGTGATCACTTGGAACCTCCTACTGAACCAATGGTTACTGATGAAGCAAGTGAGCAAGTGATGCCCACAGGGCCTCATAGGCAAATAGAACCAGAGGTAGTAGAAAATGAGGCACCCATTATTGTATCTCCACATGTCCCTTCAAATGGGGATAATGAGGAAGTTGTTCCTAACCAAGGACAGGATCAAACAGTGGGAAGAGAGGAAGGACCTTAGGTCAGACTGGACAGTCGGGCACTTTCAACTATTGCTCGTAGTGAGAAGGTTATGAGACCACCTTCTAGGTACTTGCTTTATGGAAAATCCTATCAGGTGATCTCTACTGAGCAAGAAGAAGATCCCACTTCGTTTAAGAAAGCAATGGAGGATGTAGACTTTGAATCATGGAAATTAGCCATGAACTCAGAAATAAAATCTATGTATTCCAACAAGGTTTGGAATCTTGTAAATGCACCTAATGGGGTAAAACCTATAGGATGTAAGTGGGTCTATAAAAGGAAAAGAGGTATAGATGGGAATGTTGAAACCTTCAAAGCAAGGCTAGTAGCCAAGGGTTTTACCCAAAGAGAAAGTATCGACTATGAAGAAACCTTCTCATCGGTTGCCATGCTTAAATCTATTCGAGTTCTTTTATCCATTGCCACTCATTATGATTATGAGGTTTGACAAATGGATATCAATACAGTATTTTTAAATGGACGTCTTGAGGAGACCATTTACATGATGCAACCTGAAGGGTTTGCGAAAGAAGGCCATGAAAGGAAAGTTTGCACGTTGCAGAGGTCCATTTATGGACTAAGCAAGCGTCCAGATCTTGGAATGTAAGATTTGATCAAACCATCAAGACCTATAATTTTGAGCAAAATCTGGATGAACCTTGTGTGTACAAACGAATACAAGGAAAGAAAGTAGTTTTTCTAATTCTTTATATAGATGACATTCTACTCATTGGCAATGATGTAGGGACATTGTCATCTGTAAAGAAATGGTTCTCACAGCAGTTTGATATGAAGGACTTGGGAGAAACTAGTTATGTTTTGGGAATCCGTATCTTGCGAGATAGGAAAAACAGAAGGATTGCATTATCTCAAGCTTCATATATCGACAAAATATTGTCCAGATGTGCAATGCAGAATTCCAAAAAGGGATAACTTCCTTCTAGACATGAAATTCATTTATCTAAAGAGCACTGTCCCAAGAATGCAACGGAGATAGATTACATGAGAAAGGTTCCTTATGCTTCAGCAGTGGGAAGTCTCATGTATGCTATACCTTGCACTAGACCGAATATTTGTTATGCTGTGGGTATTGTTAGTCGTTATCAGTCTAATCCAAGACCAGAACATTGGGTAGCGGTAAAGCATATACTCAAGTATCTTCGGAGAACGAGAGATTATATGCTTGTCTACTCAAGACATAATCTAAATCCTATTGGATATACTGATTCCGATTTCAATCCGATCATGACTTTAGAAAGTCTACATCGGGATCAGTATTTACACTGGAAGGTAGAGCTGTGGTATGGAGGAGTATCAAGCAATCTTGTATTGCTGATTCCACCATGGAGGCAGAATATGTAGCAGCTTGTGAAGCTGCTAAAGAAGTTGTATGGTTTAAGAAGTTTCTTTTGGACCTTGACGTGGTACCTTTGACAATGGGGCCCATAACGCTTCATTACGATAATAGTGGGGCTGTTGCCAATGCTAAATAACCGAGGAGTCATCAGCGTGGCAAGCACATCGAGAGAAAATATCACCTTGTTAGAGAAATTGTTCATCTAAGAGACGTGACGGTTAGTAAGATTGTATCAACAGATAATCTTGCGGATCCATTCACTAAGACCTTACCAGCTAAGGCTTTTGATGGACATCTTAAGGGGATGAGTATTCTTGATATGTTACACATACTCTAAGAAAGGCAAGTGAGAGATTGTTAGTTTGATGTCCATCCTTCGAGTAGTGCTCTGTAAAATCACATTATGAATTTACGTTCGTTTATTTGCGTGTTATAATTTGAAGTGATTGTCTAAGGTTCCAAGATCATATAGGATGTCACAATTATATACTCGATGGATCGGGAATAGTAAGACACAATTTGTGATGCGATCAAAATTATGTCGTTCACAATCGGTTCATAAAGTTAGACGCTTTATGTTGATAAGATTGTATTGTTCTTTTTAAGATTTGTCTAGATCTTGAAATAGGAACAATAATGTGTTTCAATGCATATTGAATGGGACCGCGTAGATGACTCATTTGTGATCGTTTAAAATGAGACTCTACTTGATTATCAAACATGTCACCTAAATCCTAAGTGAGTAATGTATCTTTGATTGCTAGTTCAAGTTCTTTGAGGTACCAATGAGTGAAGTCTTAAATAGAAGATTGATCTCGGTGCTTTGACAATCGGGTCGAAACAATTAGAGATCATATACTTACAATATTGGAATCCATTAATCATTGAGATGAGACTATTATCACTCTAAGGTATTTTTCTAGGCAAATTGAATCTGAGCTCGGTAGATCGACGATGAGATTGTTGGAATTTACATTGTGATTTTATCACAACGAATTTACCGTATGAAAATGGGACTTAGAGGGTAATACATGTTGAAGGGCAAAACAGTTATTTTGCCAGTTTCAACATATTAACGGTCAAATAGGAGTTGACTTGTGGAACAATAATCAGAGGATATTGTTATTGGATCATAATTTGCTTCTATAACTATCACTCGACTCGAGAGTACAATCTCGATTTTTTGGTACAATAAGCCCGGATTAATAGATGTATCTCAATTGGTCAAGAGTTGACCCAATTGAAAACATCTATTGGAGCTTGGGTCATGTGATCCGGTTAGGTCCCTCCTTTGGCTCCAATAAAAGACGTGTGACTTAATTGGCCTACTACAATAAAGTCTAAGAAAATTTGTGCAATTTTCAAACCCTAATAGGATATTATAAATATACAATTTAGTGGCATATTTTGAATGAGAATTAGGGTTAGCCACTTTTCACTTTCCCCAAAAAGAAATTACACCTAGTGGGGAACAAGGGAGAATATCTAAGGGAGGAAGCAATTGGCTATGTCATTTAATAGCTTCTGCAAAAAGGTTATCATCTCCCATTTTTATGTGTGAAGATTTTATAATCCAGTGATCTTAAGGTCACTAAAATCCTTATTTACATGATTTTAATTTTCAAAGAAAAATTAATTTCCTATTGTGATGATTAAAAATCATTAACCAACAGTTTATAATAGTAGTATTCACATTTTCCATCATCGTTCACCGTTCCAATTCGCTGTCCTGCTAAAAAAAAGCAACAAGAATTAGAACCGCATAATCAGCAATCAATTGGAAGTAAATTATTTATTTCAAACCTCGATTAGGAACATACTAAAGTAAGCAGTTTATTCATAATTGGAATCTCTCACTTTTGTTTTAATTTTATCATTAAAAATTCATAAATAATTCTTTCATCATGATAATTTTTGAAAGAAAGAAAATACTGGATACAAGTTTCAATATCAGTGATGAAGCTATTTATTTTTCATTCAGTGATTTTACTAGCTATATTCGTCTATTCTTTACCTAAATCCATCTATTAAAGCATACCTATATTATTAACCATATTGGAAAACAAAAACTCTATTAAATCATAATAGTTACAAACATTATACCGATCAAAGTCTTATTTCACATAAAGATTTGTAGAAAATCTCGAGAAAATTACTGTTTTCCTTGAAATTACTTAAGAATAAATAAATAACCAATAAGTTTTTAGGCGTGCCTTTTATATATGTAAACAGAGCACAGTTAATTTATTATCTCTTCCTCATTACAAGATAATAAATTTTATAAAATTAATAAATTTTATTATTTTGAAAAATTATTGATTTATATTTATTATTGAAAAACTCTTACTAAATCAAGAAATAAAGAATGTTGTCATCATTTATATATGTGCATATATGGGAATGGAATCGCCTGTAGAGATTATCTTACTAACTATATATATATATATATGCATTGCAAAAAACTGTATAGCATGTGGTTTATTATGAATTTTTATGTATTTATTAACTTATTGTTTTATAGTTTATACCTAAAAATTAATGTATCTATAATTTATTTTTTTCGCTTACTCTCTAAACTGCACACCAAAATAAATAATTCTAACTAAAAGACTTCAGTTTTAACATTACGCTACATTGGTCAACAAAGATGTACACTTTTTATTCATTTTACAGCACTTTCATATAACATAAATAAGTGATAATTCAGTGGAGGTGAATAATATTATTAAACATCTTTTCATGCATTGAATCTTCAAAAGGCACGTATACCGGAGACCGTAAGCATACTCAAATCTACATCAACTTGGTTGCAGATATTTGACACCCAAATATAGAAACTGTAGCTAAACTATGAAAACACGGCGAGGATGGGCTTGGGGTGTGTCGTAAGAAGAGTGCAGAAACAATGGTCGTTTATAACCACCCTCACACATCTTCCTTCAGAGACACACCATAAGCATAAGAATATTGAGAGAGAGAGAGAGAGATTCATAGAAGAAAAAAAAAAAATTAAAATCAGAAGAGATGAAACCTAACGAAGAAAAGAGCTCGGGTCGAGCCGAGCAAAAGCTCGGCCAAAAAAACAAGGCTTGGCCCGAGCTTTTCGGCTCCTGCCTTAGCGAGCCAAGCCAAGCCGAGTCGGGCCAGGCCAGGCCAGCTTCGTTTTTTTTTATATTTTTATTTTTATTTTATTTTATGGCAAATAGATGACTTTGTTCCTCTTCTTCTTTTTTTCTTTTTTTTTTAATTAAAGCACGGGCCGGCTCGGGTTCTGCCTGGAACCTCAAAATTGGGCTCGATGAAACGGAGCCTCGAGCCCAGCCAACGAGCCCAATTGACATTCGTATGTATAGGTAGTGTAATTACACACCCCGTCCAGTGAAACACCACTAGATCCGGATGTGGCATGCGCCGATGATAGATACCAACTAAAAGTCGGATCCACCATCAAGGCTACTACAAATACAATATATCACTTTTCTAACAGAATTTCGACATTATCTCCCCTGTAAATAGGATTAACCAACCTGTGATCAATTTCACACAAATCTCAAACTATAGCACAGCACAATAAAGATAAGTCGAAATCTCAACATTTACCAAGACATAAAATGAAATATACATATGAATACAAAACACATAGTGAGCCTCATAACTACCTACAAGTGATGCAAAATCACATCTAGATATGAACATGCGTCCCAAAATACTGACTACATGTTCTATGAAGTAAGTCATACTAACAAACTCTGTCATGTTGCTTTGACTTCAAAAGCAAGGTTCAACTCCAAAAGATGCCCAGATTCTCAACTGCTGCCTAATAAGGAAAAACGTGGAAAAACATATAAGTTGATAGCTCAGTGAGTGGAGAAGTTCAAAATAAATATACATTTTTATTGAAAATCAAATTCATATCATTTGATAATTCATAAGCTACCATCATATAATTATAGCCAAAAAGTGAAATATTCACATAAGGTTGTAAAATATCATCTTAAAATTATGATATAGATATCAGCTGATAACCATGCTATAATCTCATCACATCAAACGTACTGAAAAATCCACCAAAAATGTACCATCTAGCTGAA